ATTCCCAATTTTTTTATTACAATCATGCAATTTCCAAATAAACTCTTCAATTTTTTTGGCTGTAGTACTTTTGCCGGATCCAGCTAATCCATGAATTAGCAATACTGTTTTACCTTCATATAAAAACTCATTCACTTCTCCATCTTTATCATCAAATTAATCTAAATTCATCATATTACTGATCTCATTTTTACCTATCTCTTAAGTTTTTAATGGTACATAGATGGACTTAACATTTTTTTCTGCTGCTTCCATCAAAACTTTCCATTTTCTAATTTCAAGCAATTAAATAACTGATTTTCCTCTCAAAAATTTAAGATCATTACCCATGTTGTTGAGCTAATCTTTTATTTGATTTATTTTCCCCTCAACTCTTAACAAACCTTTTCTGATATGATTTACAAAATCAGTTACCAACCTGAGTTATTAACCCATTTCGCTGATATTTTCAATGTATTCATCTAATTTCTGAGTTGTTTCATCCATTTCTTTCAATTATAGCTCTCTTTTGTTAAGATTTGCCTCCTGTGTAATTTATTCTTACAATTCATCAATTCTCTTCAGCATTTTTTACATCTCTCCTGCAATTCTATCATGTTAAGTCTACCAATCTTTCTGCAATATTTACATCTATAAACTTAGTAAGTGTTAATTTTTCAATAAATTTCTAACTCTTTAATCTTTTTCTAAAACCCATAATTAAATGAGAGCTTTCTAACAAAATGAAATAATTGTATCTGTAAAACAATTCGATGAAATCTAAATTATTGTAAAAACAAGGCTTTATTTAATTTTCCATTCTTCATTATTTATAAAATCTTTATACTTTTGATTCAATGCATTGAATAAACCTAATTATTATGTATTTGATTCAACTTCATCTTCTTCTTCCTCATATTCTTATAAATAAATTTTTTTTATTTATTGAACTAGATTTTCTTCATTGATTACAACTTCTTGGGATACCCACTTTGACACTATTAACATTTTTTATATTTCAGCCTTCATTTTATTCAGAAAATCAAAAATATTGGTTTATTCTGTGATATTTTGATCATCTTTTTCAATCTCACCTTAGAATAAAGTTGTAATTCTTTCAAAATACTCTTTAAAATTTTCATTTTTCATTTATTTTAAATCAGCTGTTGTATGATGCGATTGTTCAAATTTACTAATTTAGTTTTAGAGAGAATTAAGAAAAAACATATGCATCTATACTTAAATTTCCTTTTTATAATTTAATTCGAATAGAGTTATTTCTAAACTATTTAACTTCTTCAAGTAATTTTGTCAGTTGTTGCTTTGATTTTGATATTTTTTCCTCTTAAATTTTTACAACATTAATTAAGATTTATAAATGAGTGTGATATTTTTTATCAGAAAGATTATTGAGGTTATTTTCGATATTTTATTAATCCTTAAGAGCAATTTCAATTTTTTCATATTTTTAATTATTCTATTACTCAGAAGAAGATAAATGGGAATTCCTTTCTTCTATTTTCTCTTCTTCATCATAATTATTTTATTTTATTTTATCTTGTAATTGTTTTAAGTCATTTAAACAATCAATAATAGGTATTTTAAAAAGTTTTAAATTTTAATTTACTGAATCCCTCAATTCTTTAACAACTTTATCCATTTGATTAATAAATTATTGAAAATGTTCTATATTTTAAAAAATTTTATTTTTCTCCTCATTCCTTAATTATTATAAAACATTCTCATATTTCTCTCTCTCTATAATCAATTTTTATTGATTAAATTTTTCATCAGACACATTTTTAATCGATTCATCAATTTATATAACTGCAATAATCTTCATATATATCACTGAAATTGAATTAGATTCTTCTATCAATGTTTCTTCAAATTCCTTCTAAATCATCTCTAAATCTGTTTTTTCTGATTTAATAATTTATTCATCTATACCGAATATAAATATTAAGTATTCTATTGTTCCTTGATACTTATATAGATTATTTTACAAGTCTTCCTCCGTGACTTTCATAGTTATTAATTCAGGTAATATTTATTTTTAATATTAATTTTGGTTGATTATTAAATTTAAAGGATAATTTATAAGTACATTAATGAGAAACTAATCTAAATTGATAACTTCTTATAACTATAAATAATCTTCTGATTGAACTGTTAATATTTTTTAAAAAGACTCCTTGAAAAAAGTTAATTGTAATTTAAGCTTTAAATTATCCAAACTTTAGTTGAATATAAATGAATATGATAGCATATCCAAAAGTTGTTATTTAATGTTTACAAATTCTTCAGCTTAAGAAAAAGACTCGATTTCACATTATAGAATTAGAATTTTTCTAAAACTTAAAATAAATTCATTAACATCTTTTTAAATTTAAAACTTCTTGTTTTCATAAAAATAATATAATTTATGCAATAAACTCCTAAAGCATTCAATTAAGTTATTCTTTTGAAGTTATATAACTTCTAGATTTGTGATTTATTTTTGAGAATGTTCAATAAGTTTTAAAATGCTTTGAGCTTCTTTTAAATAGCTCTTTTAGTTAAGAGTTGCGATTGGTAAGGCATGAAGCTTCAATTAAAACTCATTGACAAATAAAAACTAGTTATCTTTCAGATTTAGATTTTTTAACTCTACTTAAACTAACTCTTTCTATTACTAAAGCATTTTTATTTCATCTGTTTCAACATTTTCCTTGCTGAATTGATTTTATTAATCATTAATTTCCTAAATTGTTTTTAGTAATATTTATTCTAATAGTCTCATTAAATATTTAAGCTATTACAAAATATTATATTCAAATAAATTCTCTTATTTGAATTATTCAGACTGACAATAATTAATCTAATTCAGCTTAAGAATTTTTAGTATATTTTGTGCGTTTGTTAAATATTCTTATATGTTGTAAATGATCTTTTTAAATTAAGAATTAACAGTCCATTATAATAGTCTTGTATAAACTTGCTAATCTTTCTAAAATTGTTTCTAGATTTTCAATATTTCCCCCAAGTTTTGATCATTTTATTTTATTAAATTAATTAATTTAGTTGAGATTATGAAACTTAAAAGCTTTTACATTTTCTTGGAAGTCACAAGTTTTTCTTAATTTTAGGAATCTTCTTTAAATAAATCTAGTTTACATTTTAAATATGAACTGAAAGTATATGGTGTGTTTTAATTTTATTCATTCATTAAAAATTGTTTAAGTATTAGAAAGCCTTCCCATCCTTTGAAACTTTCTTCTAACATTAATCTATCAGGTAATAATATTTTATTATTTTTAAGTTAATTAAGTTGAATAACAGCTGAATCTTTATTATTATTTATTTATATTAATATTCCTCTGTTAGTATAATCCTACCAAATCTAACTTATTGACTTTACCCCAATATTTAAAGAGTTATTCAACTGACCTAATTTTTTTATTGTTATTCGAGGATTAAAGACTAATATTTTACCAATCATTTGGATCCAAATATAATGTTCCTTCCAATTTTTTGAACTTTTAACTATTGTGTCATATATTGCCTCAATTTGTAGAATTATATCTTCTAGATTTTTGTATTTTTCATATTTAAAATAACTTATTACCTCCCATTATAACATATCTATTTGATAAAAAACTTCATATTATTTTCTCTTTTTAGAAATATCTTACATTTTGTAAAGTAGGCAGGCTCCCTTAAATAATGATTCAAATAACTCAGTATCAGGGCTCATTTTGATTAGAGAACCTACAATACCTTTTAAGGATCCTTTTAATATTTCTTCCTTGTCTTTATTATTAATAAGAGCAATCTCAAAAGAAGTTTTGGTTAAGAAAAGAAATAGTTCGATTTAATTTTTAATTAAATCATTCCTTGCCAATCTCCATTTGTAACTCATCGCAAATTTCCAGAAAAGAATTTTAGGTTTCACATTTTATAAATCTCTATAATAAGTTCGAACATTTAAAGGAATCTGATCTGATGTAAGTCTAAAAGCTTATCAATAAACGTCTAATCCCATCTAATACTAAATTGTATAACTTCTTAAAACTTTATTCATTCTTATTGATTTTGTTGATGTTGAGCAACATTAGAAACTGAAATTCCACACTATCCTCCTCTTAGATAGAATATTTATTTGTTGAGTTGATTTAGCACGTTTATAAACAATTTAATTAATAATGAATCCAACACTATGATAGAATATGTCTTAGGAATATTCAGGACCCCTAAATAAATTAATGCTTAGTCATCGTAACTGTCAAATAAAACAATGAAAAAAGTATTCTTCGAAGGCTTCCAGCTTTTATTTGAGGAATAATTCTAATTGTAACAATATAATTATTACTGTGGTTCCTATCTTGGGCTTTTTGCGATCAGTTTATTGTTAATCATCAAATATCTAAATATGCTTTCATAATTGCCCCATTAATAAAATGTTAGAAGTAATAATAGATCATATCATTTCGTTTCTGATGAGAGATGTAGAAGCATACTCATGGCTTTATAAAGGGCATATAGAAAGTGTTTTACTTTTGATTTCTCTCATTTTAAATAAATGAAACTATAAATTAAAAAAGAATAAGAGGCAATATAAAACTTATAGAGTTAAATTCTTTATATTTTTTATATTATTTAATTAAATAATACCTATTCAATCTTGATGATAAAGAAACTTATTGATAATATAAATATTATAATATTACAAAAAATAACATACCGGTTTAAAAAAATCGATCCACTAAATTGTAAATTTTACATTGTTTTGCCAAATAATTTTCTCAAGGGCAATTTTGAAAGAAAAATTCGAAATAATAATCAAGGTGTAGATATAAGATAATTATTTAACTTTGATACAAAAAAATTTATTGCTAAATCCCATGTATAATCTGCTTTTTAACATTTAGTTTTTGATTAATGTGTACATAAATGTTACTGATCAAGGACCCTTAACAAAATCATCAAAGTAATGCACAAATTATGTAAAGAGAATAGTTTTTACAAATTAATAATGGCTTTCNTGTAAAGTAGGCAGGCTCCCTTAAATAATGATTCAAGTAACTCAGTGTCAGGGCTCATGTTGATTAGAGAACTTACAATACCTTTTAAGGATCCTTTTAATATTTCTTCCTTCTCTTTACTATTATTAGGAGCAATCTCAAAAGAAGTTTTGGTTAAGAAAAGAAATAGTTCGATTTAATTTTAAATTAAATCATTCCTTTCGATTTTTATTTATTATTGTAATTCATCACAAATATCCAGAAAATAATTTTAGGTTTCACATTTCATAAATCTCTCATCATTCATTAAATGAAAGCTAAATATTACTTTTGAAAGGGAAGTTGTAATCTATAAAATATATAAACATTTAAAGGAATCTGATCTGATGTAGACTTAGCAGCTTATTAATAAGCGTCTAATCCCATCTAAAATTAAGTTGTATGATTTCTTAACACTTTATACATTCTTATTGATTTTGTAGATGTTTTCCTCTTAAAAAATAAACCACCGTATTGCTATCATTATTTCTTATGATTCCTATTCATTAGCTGCAACATTAGCCTTTGATTCGATTATATAAATATAGTGATTGAAACTTAAAAAGAAATCATAAGCATCAGTTTGAATGGAATTGTTTTAAGTTTACAAAGCGATTTTAGTTTTTGTCATTCCACAACCTCCTCCTCTTAGAATGAATGGTGAATAATTCATTTGGTTTGGCATTATTAAATATTTAAATAATCAATCCTATACTAATATAAACTTGCTGAAGGATCCCCTAAAAAATTAATACTCCGTCAATTTATCAACACTATTAAATAACGCTTAAAAAAAAAGTCTTCATTGGAGGCTTCGAACTTGTGTTTTGATCAATCTCTTATTGTTTCAACACCCTTTACAGTAGTTCCTATATTGGATTATTTATGATTAAATGATTATGATTTATCTTAAATCTTTGGAATGCCATTAAAAACAAATAATTATATGGTTTCATAATGCTCCACACCAATTAAATGTTAGAGGTAATAAGGGATCATATTTTGTGGAAGATGCACATACATACTCATGACTATACAAAGGGTCTCTATTGTTTCTCAAGGAATGAACCAAACTAAAGAAAAATTCTAAAGGAAATTAAAGATTATTTTCTCTCTTTCAAAATGAGTGATAAACCTGCCATTTGATATTGTAAAAAAAGGATTAAAAAGGTTTCATCCTATTTCCACAGCAGAATTCTTTTGACAAAAAGTTGGCTACTCTTTCCTAATATGCATTAAGTATGAATAAGTGACAGTTATCAACTCATATACGATATTTAAGACTATACAATTTTAATTCAAAACTAACTTCATTCTAAACTCAAGCATTAAATACTTTATCAATAGTATAGTTAATATTTTCACTAAGTTAAATGATTATTTTAATTAAAAAAAAATTATCACATTAGTTAATTAAAGAAAATAGTATTAATTTTGTATTATTAAAATATTTATAAATCCTTTTTGTTGTATTTTCTAGTTTATTTGGAGTCCTCTGTGAATTAAATCTTTTTCCTAGCAAATGATATTTAAAATTTAGAAAAAAAGGATACCTCAAAAATCTTCTTATTTAAGATGATTAAAGATTATATAAGAAATTATAAAAACTATAGATGATTCTCTTGGCTTTTTAGTAATTAAGAATAGTTTTGGCTTTAGAGTTTTGAAATTGGATTAATGTTTATTATGCTCAAAACTCATTAGAAAATAGGATTGTGAATATGGGGATTGTATTTGGAGGACGAATAAGGAGAGTACAAAGTGAATATGTATTGATAACAATTTGATTAAGGGTAATGAATAAGATGATTATTGCAAGGGTATATTGCATCCTGCACAAAATTTTTCCAAATATTTTTAGTTAATTCACATCATTTATCACTC